TTTCCTATGGGGACCACTAAAAAGCAAATAAAACGATTGTAAAAGCTTGTATCAAAAAATTTAAAAAACGCCTAAGGGTATTTACCCACTCTACCTCTATACGAAATTACAGGTAATTTCGCCCAAAAATGAAGGAGTTGAATCAATTTAAAGAAGTGGCAGGAGGAGGAGGAGGAGGAGGAGAAGAAACATCAGAAAAAGCAATATGGTTTCACCCACCACTTCGTGGTGTGGTGAACCCATAACTATAGAGCAAAGATGCATAATCCTTAGTTTATTTTTGTTTGAAGTTCCTCACTTCACTCAGGTGAAAATGAGTACCTAGCTTCGGTTAGGGGCGTCTTATCGGATGGGACGTTAAAATGGAGGTCCCGTGTTTGAGAAGAGACACACCTCAAGCACGTTAAAGAACCCACGTGAGCGGAAGTGGAACAAACCATTATGGTCAAAAAAGGGGTAGGGAATTTTCCCGACCAGCCTCGTAACCCTTGCTTCTCCTAGTGGGTCAGTTAGTCCTCACTACTTGTGATGATGTTTCTGACTCAGGGAGAAGAGTTGCTGTTACAGTTACAGGTTAGCTCTATGCCTAGAAGTGGCCAAATGGCCTTGCATTGAGCGACACCGTTAAAAAAAAAAAAAGTGGAGTAATGTTGATTCTTCTTGTTGCCAGGTAATATGGTTGCCAGGAGCGAGCTCCATGCCCCCCATGCCCTGACCATGAGTGAAGACAGTCGACATCTTGCCTTCATCGGACCCTCTGACTTCACAGTGTCAGTGGTAGATGCAAGATCTCTGGATGAGGTACTGTGGCCTTTAAACAAGTATTTTATGTTTGAATTAGGCCGTGTTGATTTGATTACGTGTTGATTTGATTATATGGATGACATCCTCTGGGAACCCCAAAACTGATGCGAGCGTGCGAATAAAAAAAAGTTTAGCAAAAAAGAAAAAGTTGCTTTCATGATGAAATCCATTGTGGTCGTGAAGGTTAAACAAATGACACAGAGTATGGTATGGCGAATAATCTACTCCTCAAATTCATTTCTTTACAGTTTTGTCTTTTTCGTTTGATTTTGGCATTCTGCAACATTGGTATCGTTTTCCAATATTTATTTTGCAACTTAACTCAACAATGGTATATATTTGCTCATTTTGCAACGGTTTTGTACGATTTACAGTATGGTTGAAAACTTTTTTTTTTGGAAACGGCCGAAAATTCATGCGCGCGCGGATGTCATCCATATAATCAAATCAACATGGCCTTAGGTGCGATTGGTATGCAGCCTTTGCAAGGCTCGAAATACATGTACTGGGTGCAAGTGCACCTTTAAGTTAGTGCACCCTAAATAGTAGCTATGCACCCAATTTCTATCCGTGGGTGTATTGGTGCACCCAAATATTTTTGTACATATTAAAATTGTATTAATAATAATAGTATAGAAGATATTCTTGGCATCTACAAGAAAAATCTTTGTTGTAGTACTTGTTTAAGATTTTGATTGAAGTTAGCTCACATTTCAGATTCAAGCTCAGAAGAGGAGCAGTAAGATCTGTAATTAGGTTTTGTTTTATATGGTGCACCGCAAAAATTTTTCGAACACCTACAATTTGTTGGTTGAGTGCACCAGTGCACCTACATGTATTCCCAAAAATGAATTTCTCTGGCATGTATGTGAGCGGGGCCTGATGTTGGGTTGGAACCCCGGGTTCTTTTAGGATGTTGCCTAGAGAGACTCTACGAAGAAGTAACGGACACAGGAGACACAGAGCTTTGCCGTACAATCATCGCCGGGGACTGGGACTCTCAATTGCCGACCCTCGCCTCTCAGTATCCGTCGAACAACTGTCTGTCCTTTCCACAGTCCCACGGCTTTACCTTTATTCATTTCTTCCAGACACAGGTAGCACCTAAGTGAAAAGTTACTGTCTGCCAGAGTCTAGACAGACACACCAAGAGATCGTCTACTATCCTACTGTCATATAATCATTTGTTTTGATATTCCGCACTTCAAAGACAACAATTCTTTTGTAGTACAAGTTCGCACGTCTATGATAAAGAGTTCTTGATTACACATATATGAATATGCGTAAGGGTTGTCATACTAATTACAGAGCGTAACGGGCGATAAAAAGCAGGACAAGGTGAAACACATTGCAAGAATGGAAATACAAATTACAGATAAAATACGACATTTTCCCATTCCTACATCCTCCCCTTGTTTAATAATGAGCCGTCCTCGGCGAAGGCGAATACGTACGGATTTTCAACTTTTCCTTTCTAACTACTCTATTACTACTATATATAAACGTGAGAAAAAAAACTGTATAATGACGGGTCCTTACAACTGGACATCTGTGTAAACCGGACATCTGTACAGACTACGGAGTTCACATAGCAATAGCGTTCGCAGTTAGCTAGACTTTTACAACTTTCAGAGTTCGTTAGAGTTCATGTCCGTGGAAACGTCGCTTCACGTCGACGCTCTCCGGTGTCACTTGATCGTCGCAGCTCTCATCTCTAGAACTCGTCTCTCGTCCCTCAGCCTCGTCCCTCAGCGCGCGTCAAGGCTGCTTACCAGGTGGTGGTTCCAAGCTGTGCCCCTCCCCTCCTCCGTGTCGCTGCAAGGGGCACGAACGTCCGCCCGCAGTCGCCCCTCAGTTGCGGTAGCTCTCACCGGTCCTTAGTCGAAGGGTGTCCGGCGAAGATGGCGTCGCTTCAGGGGTCCCCGTTTGGGTGATGACTCGGACGGGCCGCTCTTCTGGGATCGGATGGCGCGGCGGTAATTGACCTCTCCATCGCCAAGCTTCGATGTCCCACGTGGACCTGTGCAGGAATTGGGGACGAGAACACACAAACACACACACCAAGCCTGACCACCATAACTCACAAATAACTCTAACTTCAACGTACGGGAGAACCAACTCCCACAGAACTCTGACTCACACCCTATTCTCCAACAAACGTAAATAAAGCGACATCAATTCCGCCGACCCAGACGAACTCAACTGACCGTCCACATCTATCTACAAAAGCTCAGTAACTAATTTAAAACTAAACAGTGAACAAATAAACTCTCATAGAAATAAAAGGCTATAATGCTTTCCTTACAAATCTCTGCAAACTAGGCCGACCGAGGCTCGCTCAATATACATCCTACCCTAGGAGCACGTGGATCTCGACTTCCCAGCTCAAACCACAGCATTCTGCATAGAGCTCCTCACAGCCTACTCTACTTGATTCGATGGAAACATTTCAATCCTCTTACACAAATCAGTGCTCCAGGTGATAAACATTTGCTTTCAAAGACAACAGCCAAATATAACAAAGACAACAAATTTGGACACAATGCTAAACATAAATATTCAAAACTGCCAACCTTTTTAGATATTCAAAAATCCTGGACATACTAACAACTCCTGACAGGGCACCCCTGTTCAAACTTGGGATACGAAACCTCAGACGTCCAGAAAAAGATAAAGATAAACCACTTCTAAACCAACTATCGAATACCGTTACTTAAACATCTGCAATAAAAACACGACAAGACTTCCAATCCCGGGCGACACAATCTCCTGAAGGACCGTAGCCCAACCCCCGAAGTCTGGGTTTCCCCGGAGATTACGTACCCATAGCAGATTTTCTTCCTACGTAAAACCTACATAATAAGAATCCTGACATCAAACCTAACAACCTCAACTAACTCTGAGCCAACAAAACTAAGCTTTGGGCGGTCTGACATTGTGCGCATGAACCCTGACCGCATTACACAGGCACACTCATTCGGCCGACTCCTCTGGTTCTGCAGTCCGGCTGGCCGCCCAGGTCTTCTCCCGGTCACGGCCCTGACGCCTCGTGGTCTTGGCTCTCCCGGCCCTGCAGTCCGCACCTCCATCATCAGACTCCCGCCTCTCCGGTGCGGCTCTCCAGCTTCGATCTCGCAGCGTCCTGGTCCCACAGTCGACCTGCCGAGGTCCGATTGTCTCTGGCGTCGGTCCTGCCCTCCCGTGCGCGGCTCCGGCCCTCCTGGTCCTAGCGTGGCTCTGCCCTGCAGCGTCCCCCTAGATGGTGGTTTAAACAGCATCCCATCCTCGTCGCCAAATGTGAGCGGGGCCTGATGTTGGGTTGGAACCCCGGGTTCTTTTAGGATGTTGCCTAGAGAGACTCTACGAAGAAGTAACGGACACAGGAGACACAGAGCTTTGCCGTACAATCATCGCCGGGGACTGGGACTCTCAATTGCCGACCCTCGCCTCTCAGTATCCGTCGAACAACTGTCTGTCCTTTCCACAGTCCCACGGCTTTACCTTTATTCATTTCTTCCAGACACAGGTAGCACCTAAGTGAAAAGTTACTGTCTGCCAGAGTCTAGACAGACACACCAAGAGATCGTCTACTATCCTACTGTCATATAATCATTTGTTTTGATATTCCGCACTTCAAAGACAACAATTCTTTTGTAGTACAAGTTCGCACGTCTATGATAAAGAGTTCTTGATTACACATATATGAATATGCGTAAGGGTTGTCATACTAATTACAGAGCGTAACGGGCGATAAAAAGCAGGACAAGGTGAAACACATTGCAAGAATGGAAATACAAATTACAGATAAAATACGACATTTTCCCATTCCTACATGTATAATGTATTAGTAACAAATTTGTATGTGAATCAAATTGTAATACAATATTGAACCAAGTTAAGTATCCTATTATGTACAGGTTTCATGTCAGACGTGTATTTTTATTATTATTATGAAATTACAGGTTTTAAGAGTGGACATCACATCTATGGAGCCAGACGTGGCCCGGTCAGTAGTGGACAGGGCGGTGAGAGTCCACTTCTCTCCTGCCGCGGCCAGACAGCTACTGGTCGCCACGTCTTCCAACCGACTTCTCCGTCTGGACGCCAGGACAGGCCGGCTGTTAAATGAAGTAAAAATCTCACTTCCTTTTAGATATGCAGCAATATTGTCTTTGAAATGTCCTCGCTACATGTACTAGTACATGTATACTGGACAACTAACTGATAGAAAAAGCATTAATTTTACAAATGAATGTAGTTTTTTGACAAATTTCTACAATAGTCAACAAGATTTAACAGCACCACATACATGTATATTATCTGAAGTTGTCACCATCACAATTTTGAAATATTCTCTGGAGTACATTATTATACATATTCTCACTAAATTTAAAAGATTAATATGATTTCATCTTAGGCAGCCTTTGAAAGCTTACTTCTGTATCAAAATTTCTCCGGTTAGCTTACAACTAAGTCTTGTGATATGCATAATGAAATAATTGTTACTCAAGAAACAGTTGAAATACTGGATAGATGTTTAAAATTTGGAAATTTATCCAGTTGCTTGAGTACCAATTTTCCCTGTGTATCTCATTACTTGGATGTCTAACCTTCATTTAAGTAACTTGTAATAAATTGGTGCAAATTGTACACGGCAGGTATATCTTGCCTTTAGGAGTTAACTAGGTATAGTAAATGCCATTTTTTTCTACATTTCACAGGTGGCCAACATCCACAGGTCCATCTGTAGTGCCCTGGCGGTCAGTCAGGACTGCAGACAGCTGGTGACCACAGGTGACAAGGTGGTGAAGGTGTGGGACTACCACATGAGGCTGGACATCAACTTCCAGGTGCAGGCCTACAGCACTCAAACAGTTAAACTACCGAAATACAACTGTAGTTGTTGTTCTAAATCAACAAGAGCTAACATACATGTATATAGTCTCATGTGGCTGGCTTGTAGGGCTGGGTCCCAAGTGCCAGGAAGCATTTAGCTCCTGTACTCAAATACTCAAACAATAGTAGCTAACTGACTCATAAGCATTAACTAGTCTTGTCTTATTTTTTGTTCCATATGGACTGTCTAAAATATCATTTTTTAGCATATAAAGTTATCAATTCATAGATGTTGAGGTAAATATCTGTTCAACTGATGAAAAGTAGTGAATAATGCTTCTTGAAATGTCTGACAGGTTTCAAAATCTACTCACTGTTGTTTGAGTAACAATTTCATTGTGTATTTCATACCTGGGTGTCTAACCTTCATTGACACTCACTGCAAATAGTTTTGGAATTGAATTGATTACCGCCGTATTACAGATTATGAAATCTGAACTACATGACTTTGTAGAAGGAAAGCTCTACCAGATTAGCATTCATAAAACAATTTTCCCACAATTCAGATCTTTCTCTTGAGTTGATTCCAGACAAATATAAGAAGAAATGCATTATTCTGTCATGAGTTGATTCCAGACAAAAATAAGAAGAAAATGATTAATCTTTCTGTTGTGTTTCAGGTGTTCATCGGGCACTCTGAGGTGATCAGTGGTGTAGGGTTCACTCCTGACAGTACAGGCCTGGTCACCGTGGGAGATGCCATGTTTCTGTGGGACGTCATGGCTAATGTGAAAAAACCTGAGGAACCTGGGTACGTGCATAAACTATACATGTTTTTACCATCTAAACTGTCTTATATGGGTATAAAAATATAGAATCTGATATAAAAACACATTTAAGGGCCTGAAATGAATTAATGTAAATGGACAACCAGAACAAGGTAGAACACACTTGCAGATTTCACGATGCAAGGTACATGTAGCATCAAATCATATAGAAGTCAATGTAGAAAAAGTATTTTTAAACAGGTCATCTCAAATAGTCTGATGTGTTTCTTTCTATATTTCTTGGTTGATGGTTGGAAACCTTTGCTTATTTCCTTTAGGGGCAGGACTCCAAAGAAGACCTGGCATGAGGCTGACCCTGGCACTGGTAAGTTCAGAATATGTTGTCTTCACTGGACTATCATTGTCAAGAAACTGTGATTGGATAAGCATACATGTACAATGTATGATGAAGGGCCTGCCTGCAATATCAGAGATATCAGAATTTTCTACTAGTATATGGAAGAATATACCTATAATATAATGCCATAACCTGTCTCAGAAAAAAAATCTCCATTGGAGATGTAAAGATTTCTGTAAGACACAAGCAGCTATTGATTCAAACTTTAGCACAAAACATAGCCATTTGGCTACCAATCGTCTATTCGTTACTGGGCTAGGCAACAGAGAAGGTTAATTGTTATCCTTACTTCACAACTAGATGAGCCCGTCCCTGATGTGAGAGAGCAGTTGTTATTGGACACGAGTTACCAGCCCCGCCCGGCACCTGTCCCTACCCGGTATTCCCCACATAACCTCAGCTCTATCCACCCCACCATGAACGGAGGTCAGTAGTGCCTCACTCACTCAGCAGAGTCATGTTCTCTGTTTTATCTTGTTGCCATGCTTTCTGTAAAGAAGACCACTTGTCAAAGAGGACCACTTCACTTTGTTTAAAAGACAACTTTTCCTAGGTCCCATGAGTGGTCGTCTTTTTTTCACTGTAGTTCTGTTCAACAAACTTTCTGAAGTGAGTATAAAGAGACTCTTTCTACACAGCCGATGTTTCAGTGACCGTCTGTCACCTTCCTCAGGGCAATTCTGACTGGTTCACATTGCACTGCAGCACAGGTGTCGCTGCTATCTGTAATAGTCTATAGATACACATTATATAGAAACATACCGTAACAATATTAATTTACATATCCACAAAAATATGTGGTTACAGGGAACTGTATCTACAGTGTTTCAGAGGTGAGCATGAAGGCTCAGCACCTGAAGGAAACAACAATATTGCGAAAGACTTTTTGAGTTCCTCACTCTTCTTGAGTTTTCAGTATTTTTACATCTTCTTTCAGCACTCAAAACTGGCTGCTACTTGTAATGGTTTGCTTTTACTGATCAGAAGAAACACAGGACTGATTAACAGACACATGAAACCTGTTGAGAGAAAGATAGTGGAGTATTGATTTATATAATTTGGATATTGATAAATAATTTCATAATATTTCCAGAGATGCACACTGATGAATTGAGATCAGAGACGGAGTCTGAGATGGGAGGAGCAGAGGTTCTGATTGGTCCAGATCTGACAGACAGAACTGACGAGGAAACTGACACAGCAACAGATGCAGTATGTATTTTTTGTATCTTTTGACATATCTTTTGTATCTTTTTCGGTATTGAATGTTGTCTTGTCAAACAATGTAGCTGTACTAACTACCCTTCAGTGCATTATGCTAACATCCAAGTCACACACATCATACACGTTTTATCAGCATGTCGGCAGAATGGGTAATGGGCCTTCACGGTTTTGTTAGATTTTTGGTCAACGTTGCATCACAACTTCACCTGTTGCAGACTATATGTTTTCCAACAAAACATTTGGAAACTACAGACAGGATGTTAACCTTATGTACTCGAGTACGACCTTAAATGAGACATTCTGCCAAAGTGCTATGCACAGTACCTTTTGGTGCAGTATGTTCTATCTGCTGACGCACCCCCCTTTTATCTGGTAACGCCTACATGTAATCTCTGCATATCTTACTCTAAGTGTTGCTTGAAAAAGTACCTAGTCAAGAGAAACTTCTATTATGTCATCACAGTCCTTTGTCCACTATGTGTTTTTAGACTAATCAAAGTAAGCTTTCCAGTGTCAGTGACACATTCTGTCCTGTCTTCGAAAGGAATATGCCCAACCAGAAAGCCTGGGACACAGCCGCAGGGTGCAGCCACACCAGAGGGTGGTTAGCCCTGGGAAGATGCCTGCAGGTAAGGTGCAGGATCCCAGGCTAGAGGACAGCAGCTCTAGGCATGATCAACCTCTAGTGAAGAAACATTTTGTGTCGAGGGAGAAGTCGTCTAATTTGGCTCAGGTAAGAATAATATTGGACCAACGTTTCTTTCTGTTCAACAAGGAATAGTGTTCTACATTCTGACAGTAACAGATAGATGGTAGTATATTTAGAAACCTTATAATATGAAATATCCATTTCCACATAATATGATTATATACTTTCCAGTTGGTTTGAAACACACTTGTGTCAATATTTGTGTGTGCAATAATGATAGATTGCTTTTTTTTGGGTGGGGGGATCATACAATAAGTCTTAAGTCAAAACTCACATAGCTATAAAACCATTTTAATTAACTGCTATGATAATCTATATTTATTTCAAAGTTCTAACATCAGTTTCAAGATCACAATGTTTCAAACCAATCGCAGAATAATCTTCTGAATCAGTCATTCTTTGGAAAAATCTTCAGATTCTTTGGAAAAATCTTCAGATTCTTTGAAAAAAAATCTTCATATTCTTTGAAACAATCTTCAGACTTTCCAGAAAATCTTCAGATTTTCTCATACTGTCAAAATATCAACTTTGCACACACTATTGAGTATTATCATATAGCCGGGTGGCGTAGACCAATCAGAGGCCTCCGTTACCCGTGCTTTATTCTCCGATAAACCATGGCTCAGCCGTGCGTTATTCTCCATAAACCATGGGTGAAACCATAATGATATAGGGGTACACAGCTCTTTCTGTTAATATTCATAGCAGTTTCCTGGTCAGACAAAATTATGTTTTTTTTTAAGCTTCATATAAACTAAAATGTGTGTGAGTATGAAATGTATATGTAAATAGATAGAATTTGAACGGGAGAGCAAAAACCATACTTATTTTGACACCCCTACAAAAAGTGGTATCGCCCACATCACCTGACTGAATCAGACCAGGGATCAGACGATTTATTTTTTTTGGTCCGCCATCTTGCCTTCTTGTGTCATGGAGAGTTTGCCTAATTTCTACATGGAAGAGATAACAGACGCGGATTTAGATGAGATATTTGGACCCATGGAGGTCGAGGAACAGACGCTGGAAGCTACACCGGAGACAGAGGTCAGCAGGGTGCGTTTCGCGTGTCTGAACGAACAACAACTTGGCGAGATAGAGGAGGGGCGAGTTGAAAAAACTACTGAATGTCAGTCAACAGGATAGGTTGGTGTGCTTTGGCAGTGTCCTTGCCCTCTCTTCTTAGCTTCTTTAACATTCCTGTGTACACGTTATTTGCTGCCTTGAATTCGGTGTCCTTCAGGATGTTGTATTTGCGATGGAAAGGGGGTCCTGTGAGATGACGGTGTATGGCAGCTCTTAGACATCCATAACTAGCTTTTGCATACGGTGTGCCGTCATCTTTGCGAACCTCTGCGTAGAAGGACCTGAGCAGTGGTGCCAAGTTTTCTGGAGGAAGCTCCTCAAAGTCTGTATCCAAGTCTCTTGCTGTCAGCCATTCTAAAATCATAATATTAAAAACAAAAGTCTTGTTTATTCATTTTCCACTACACCCACAGGATGTTGATAATAATACTGACTTCTCCGAGACTCCAGCTACCAATAACATATTGGCACACTTATCAACATTATATTCTAAATCAGAGAATTTGCTGTAAAATTCCAGTTCAGTACAGGGCTGTTATAAATTTGGCAGCCTGTCGATATTACAGTAACAATAACATTAGCAAAAGTACAAACCATGATTATAATATTTTGGAATGTATTGTTATGTAAATATTAAAGGTTTAATGTTTTGAACAGGAATTGTGTTGATTCATTGTGTCAGTTTGGATAGGCTATATGATAATAACGTTAATGCACCGCCTTTTCCTCGGTGTATATGGTGTCATAAATGCATGGTCAGCTGCTATAACCACCTCATAAACCACCGAGTGAGCGAAGCGAACGAGGTGGTTTATGAGGTGGTTATAGCAGCTGACCATGCATTTATGACACCATATACACCTCGGGGCGGTGCATTAACCCTTTATTGTATTTGTCTAGTAATCATAGATTGTACTTTATCAATTTACCCATCAACAGAAGATTTTCCCATTTGAAGATAACTTCTCTCTCTCACTCTGCCAGAGGAGGTACACAGCGCCCCCTAACCAGGCAGGACTGACACTGCAGGCTGTTATTGGGTACAACGGGAACGGCAGGGGAAACATGGTCTGGAACTCTGACACAGGTTTGTTTGTTTGCACAACAAGAAAGTACATTATACATATACGTCAACTAGAAAGGCAACATGATTTACAAAGTAAATCCATGATGTTTTACCTTCGCATATAGTCTGCTCTGTTATAATTCTTGCTCAAACACTTTCATATATTCTATGGTCAGACAGGAGCCTTAATCCCTCCTGCTATAAAACTGCAACATGATGTAACCTAACACCTTAGTTAACATGGTGAAAGACATCTGGTTCAGGTCATTGACTTAATTTGTTTGGAGAAGAAGAGTAAACTGAGCAAAAACAATCTGTTTTCCTTCGATAAACATGATAATAAACAATAAAACTGGTTTGTCAGACATCTTCCTCATAGCTTTGATTGGAGAACTGCTATCTTGTAATGATTTTCTTCTTACACAACCAGTAATGTACTGCTCTACATTACCGGTTGTGTAAGAAGAAAATCCCTATATATCCTATGTTCCACCAACGAATGAAATTATTTTGGTGAGAGTTGCTGTTGTCTGACGTTTGCATGTGTTATGCTGCAGGTGTGTTTGCCTACACCAGTGGTTGTGTGGTGATCCTGGAGGATCTGAACTCAGGTGAACAGAAACACCTGACAGGACATGTGGAGGAGGTGTCAACACTGGCATTACAGAATGACTGTCAGGTACCTTTACAATTAATGAATGAAAGACCTTTATTGTACATTTTTGCTCATTGTGAACTAAGTACAGGTCATGGCAAATAGCGATGGTATACTAAAATATATCTATAGTAAAACTACATATGTACAGGTTCTGCTTCTTGCTTCTTAAGACAGTTGTAAATGTAAGAACATAATTATGGAGCTTATAGTACAAGGATTATCGAGTTTCATGAGGAATGTGCATTTATACACAGCTTTTTGCATCATTGCTGTTAGAACAGAAAGCAGCTATATCCTATAGTAGCTGTTATCAAGTTGTTTAGAGTTCAAACTTTAATTTGATCCAACACAAAGAAGTTCTCTCATGCACCTAGACCTTTCAACCAGTCACTCTGGTCTTCCTCTGTCAGTAGACAGTCCCTCACTAGGTCAGTCTACTGAGGAAGACCAGAGTGACTGGTCAAATGATCGAGGGTGAGAGAATTTTGTGTTGGATCAAAAGTTTTAACTCAAAACACAAAATTACTTATAAGTAAACACAGATGAACTTTAATGACTGTTATCAATTGCTGGAACAAAAGATGTAAAAATCTAACACTTTGATTTGTTTCAACAGGTGCTGGTGTCTGCATCTGGCAGCCGCGGGCTGGTGAAGAGCCAGGTGTGCGTGTGGGACCTGCAGAAGAACAGCTGTCGGCAGGTGCTGCACTATCACCAACACAACATCGTCTGTCTGGCCTACTCACGGGACGACCGCTTCCTGGTCACAGTCGGTAAGATTTGTCTTGTTCTTAAGGCCAGTTTGTTGTTTGTTGGTACATGAAGTCACCCACTTCATTTTTTTATAAAAAAAAAGAGAGATAAAATGAATGTTTACTTTCACATAAGATCTGCTCTCACTGTTAATTCTTACTCAAACACATTAAATTTTACATGTGGTGGCAAGAGTCTAAATCCCTCCTGCTATAAAATTGCAACATCCAACACCAAATCCAACACCAGTTACCATGGTGACAGACGGTCTGGTTCAGGTCATTGATCAGTAGTTGGAACACTTACTGTAGAAGAAGAAACAGAACAAAAACAATATGTTTTCCATTGGTAAACATAAAAAGATTCCTGTCTAGAATCAACTGAAAACGCTTAGCCTAATATTTTGCCCCAAACAGTTGAAGACAGTCCTTTTCTTCCTAGTTGTTACAGTTTTCTATCAATCTATCAATGCATGACATTGTGGTTTCATTAAAAGTTCAAAATTCATTGTTTAAAATGTTAAACTAGCCTGGCATGTTGACTTCATGGCTCCTATCGTAGCATTTGGGGCAGTGAGTATCATGGGATGCCTAGGTCTGTTTTTATTTTTCTGAAAGCATCCAAGAACCAACAAATCAAATTGGTGTGGCCTTAGTTTGTATGAAATTAAAATTTTATTAAAAACAGCCAAAGCAGTTCCTGGCAGCAAACATATGGTCAGATTGATACAAAATTGACCCGATGCTTACAGAACACTTTGCAATAAAGTAATAATAATATATCATGTCATAAACCAGGGCATCATGTAATGTGATAGGGATTAACTTGTCAAAATATGATTTATTTTCAAAATTGATATCATTTTTTATCTGTGGTCAAGCTGATACTAAATTTTTGGGGAAGTCTTAAAAAAACTTAGTGTTATCATCCATGAATAGTTTCATCAGGTTGGTAAGTCACTGAGTAAAGAGACTCTTTTTTTCACAACCAAGTCTTTTATTCATCCAACGTTTCAGTGACCGTCCGTCACCTTCCTCGGGGCAATTCTGACTGGTTCACATTGCACTGCAGCACTTGAACTAGAAGTATATTTAGGGAAATAAAGATTTAATCTATAGAGGTTTGTTTGGTAAATGGAATAAATTGTAGAAAGGAGTTCTTGCCAAGCCCTTTTCAGAGTTCCAAATGGAATGAAATAGTCCTAAAGAATTGCCTAGAAAATGTCCACTTTCATATCCTGTGCCCTATATATACTGGCAAACCGTACAATTCTTATGAAAGATTTTCTAAATTTAGTGCTCGCATTTGGAGCTCTGCCACTGGCATTCTAACGTACACATTAGAGCAGACATATATTGATTTGAGAAGTAGTTGGTATAGTTCAGGGCTCGAAATTCATTTTTGGGAATAGGTTCACTGGTGCACCCAACCTAAAAATTTAGGTGCACAGAAAATTTTTGGATGCACCATATAAAACAAAACCTTACTGGTCCTCTTCTGAGCTAGAATCTTAAATAGGAGCTAACTTCAAAATCTTACACAAGTACTACAACAAAGATTTTCTGATGCTTATATATGCCAAGAATATCCGGTATTACTGTATACATTTAAAATATACAAAAATAGCTACAAAAATATTTAGGTGCACCAGTGCACCCACAGAAAAAGGTGCACTAAGGTGCACATGCACTCTAACGTATACATTAGAGCAGACATATATTGATTTGAGAAGTAGTTGGTATAGTGGCAGCACATCTGCATTATGCCTAGTCAGGCCACACTTAATCCATATAAATGACCCTCTTTCAGGTATGATTGATTCTCCCTCAGTCATGCTGGCAGAAGATAGATTTATGCAATATGTAGTCAAGGGCAAGAGGCCGGCCTTTAACAGGTCTTAGCTCCTCTTAGGCCACAACAAGTCATTTTTATGGATGACGTCCTCTGGAGACCCTAAATCTAATGCGAGAGCAAAAACAAAACAAGAAGGGACGAAAATAAGGGCCGTACCTAATACCAGCCCAAAAGAGAACAAGAAATAGCCATGCCTTCAAGTACGAGACTAATCAACCAAGGATTGAGGTGTGCAAGAATTCATTCTTTCCTAGAGCTATCGCAGAGTGGAACTCGCTGTCACCAAGTACTGTAGGGCCGGCATTGTCATTAGATAGCTTAAAACAATGTTTAGAGTTAGATGTTCAAGGGTTAGGTGTAAGAAGTCGTTCGGTGTAATGTAGCCAGCTGCCGCCGCACCGCGTGCCTGTGAAGCTGGTGTGTTATGCCGATGGGCGGTTATACCGGCTATACAGAATCTGAACAGATACAGAAAAAAGCAAGATGCCTAGATTTGAAATATACTAAGGGACGACAAATGTTAGTACACAAATTGAATGAGATAACACAGTGTAACAACCAACAAGTCTTTTATTGTCGTGAAAACAGCAAGAAATCAGTGTCACCCTGCCCTGTTTCTTTCCTTTCATCCTATCTTCCAATCTTGCAATTTGCCGCACTGTTGTCACTCTTTGATCATAGAGTCCATTCCGCGTCACCGAGTGGGTTTTTTCTCCATGTTTCTAATATGTTTGAATTATTTAGAAGAAAAGAATACCCCAGGAACAAAAGTTCTAAATTTTTCAAAAATTTGAAAATGAAAATTTGAATATATTTGAATTCATTTATATATTTCTGAAACATTTTGAATGTGACTGTACAAAGATCTCTTTCTTTAGAATAAATTTGAACTACCCATGTGTTTCTTTCACAATTCGAAATATTTAGAACTATTTCAAACAAATAACCAAATGGTAGATGTGGGTAATTGCCCCCATAAAAGTAGGTGCTAATCCTACTCTTCTGTCTTCCTCTGTATATTTTTAGATTTCACTGCTGGACACTGGTGGCTCTTTTGTTGTAAGGCATCAATGCCTGACACCCAGGCAGTCTACCCTGTACTTCACAGGGATGTGTGAATTACTTCCTTCCCATCCCACTGACCTATTTACAAAATGTTAGAAATAATTCGAAATAATGGTAAAAAATGGTAGAGTGCTGTTAGAAATATTTAGAAACTATTGGAAATGTCATAATCCACATCAGGAATATTTCAAACGTTTTAAAAAACCAGGGAATTATTTAGAATATTGACAAGATGTTCAAAATATTTCCAAATTATGAAATTTCTTAGACAAACAATTACAAAGAATTCAAAACATTTCTAAATAATGACAATAACAACCCACTCGGTGACGCGGAATTGACTCTAGTTTCAGCAAGCAGAATTTCTTTTTTTTTCTGGAAACAGGCCAAAATCAGTCCATGCGGACGTCATCCACAAAAATTACTTGGTGTGGCCTTACCTCTGTCTGTGGGGAGAAAGTGACATTTTGCCTTGCTTTTGGAGCTGGTTCAAGCTTTGTTGAGGGTAATAGTCTGACACAAGGGTGCTTTTTTGCGTAAAGGTGCTTTTAGCACTGAAAATGTCTGACATGTATTAGTGTCAGACATGTATAGAGTAACTAATGGGCCTTCCTACAATGTTTGCCGCTTATGCTTCATGTAACTGTCGTGTGGCCCTCACAATAGAGCCATGTACCGAAACAAATTTGAAGGTACGGGACCCGGTACAGGTACACTGGTTTAGGTACAGGTCCAGAACTGTTTCTGTACCTGAACAATTTGACAAATGAACATGTTTTTCTGAACTTCTTCAATAACAACAATCGATGACATTTAAGGGTGCTAAGTTTTTGGAGAATTTTGATAATGAAACCAAAACAAAGCAAAATTATGATGTTTTAATTTTCATCTCCTACCTTAGTGGCCTCATGCCACACAAACCTGACCAAAGTAACATTGACAGGGAGTATAACTTATAATATGCAACAGATCTGTAGTTGGCTATGGCTAGTCTGTAACACAAAACACCCTGCCCTGTCTATGCGGCCCATGGGAGACTAGCTAGACCACAAATAAGCAAATAATTAGTGTACCTTTCTACTGGTACAGTACCAGAATTGTGTACCAGTACACAGTCCTACTTTACCATAAACAATAGACCATTACTACTCAACTTACAAAATCTTATACAATTGCTCTTTCAGCACCAAGGACAGACCTTTGCTGAATTTCATATTTGTTGGACAGCTTTTACAGGTTCTCTTTGATGTTGTTGCCCACAGTTTCATGAAAATGAAACTCAAAAATGACTCTGTAAAATGAAAAAGTTTCTTAAGTTGTCATGTGATATTATTTATCAGGTACAAATGTAGTTTTCATTATATATATATGTAGTTAATACATTTTATATATATATATATGTCAATAAACGGCTAATGCCCCACCCGAGGTGAATATGGTAAGAGATAATCCCTGGTCAGGTGCGATAACCACTGAACAAACCACCGAGTGAGTGTAGCAACAGCAACAACCAAGTGGTAGGTTATTGTAATAACCGACCACTTTTGAGGTTACAGCCTGATAACCAATGGGAAATGGAGTCTTCTAATTGGTCCATGTCTTCTCGTTGTATGATAATTACGTATATTACATAACGTAGTACATTATACAATGTGCTAGAGGATAACTAACAAGTCTGACGTTTACCCCCTCCAAAACCCAGGAGACTACAGAGAGTGCACCATTGCGTTGTGGAACACGTTTGACTACTCCCTCCTGACGGCTACTAAAACATCCCTCCCCGTCCACGACCTGAGCTGGGATCCTTACAACGCTAACGAGTTCACCTCCGTCGGCCAGGGTGGATCCATCTATTTCTGGCTAGTGGACGAAACCAACAACAAAACTGTGCTTAACGTGAGTGTGATGTTGATAATACTGTGTAACGGTTTGCTAGAACTAGTTCCAGACTTGTAACAAAGTTTAGGTTCAAGTCCAAAATAACCTGAATGTCTGGAACCAGTTACGGAACATGTCACATTCCCCTCTTTGCTATAATTTATATAGTATAAACCACCTGAAATCTTCAATAGTCAAAAATTTGCACTGCAAGTTGCAACATGAAGAAAACATTGTCATTCGTCCCGTGTCGGCCTCCGAAAATTATGTGGCCACAGTTTTGCCCAGACATGCCCTGCAAACAACATACACTGTGTCTTGCTTTGAAACTCTGGTAGTGCAGTACTCGCTACAAAATTTTGTGGTAAAGTTGCCCCATTTTCCATTGGGAAATGTTCACTGAGAAGTCCCAATTTTCATATATTCGCTGAACCTAAAACTCTGGACTTGAATCTGGACTTGGACCTGAACGTGAGTTTATGTACACAGCACTAGATGTTGATATTTGAAATGCCTTTTGCTAGATTTTTCATTTCATGGACATGTATCATTTTTTAATGGACCCATTGTAAATGTTTATATTGTCAATTTATTACAGGTGCATGAAGCTGATGTTCCAAAAGAGATCCTTCAGTCACAGTCTGTGGTGAGTAAGCTTTCAAGCCACCTACAGCTTTCAATTGTGAATATGTACAATGTACATTTTTTACATAGTCATGTATGTACAAAAGAAGTAATTGGCCAGCATAGATGTGCATGTAAGCATTAAGGTACATACAGTGTTCAACTTTAAAAATCTAAACAATGGTCCTTTCAGCACCAAGGACAGGCCTATTATTTGGGCTGAAATTCAAATTTCTTGGACTTGACCACTTGTCTAACGCGACCGCAACCGTCATTATTTGTCACTGACTGCAAATGATCTAATCTCTACCTTTGACAACCCTGTCATTTTCATGCTTGTGGCAGAAAGCGATTTTGATGATGAAAAGTTCCTGTTCCACTCTGCAGAGCCTAAGGGTGTTGCCCATCTCTATTTGATGTTTGTCTCCACGTTTGTATTAATTTTGTGGGTTATCTGATACCAGTCAACGGCTGCCTTGATAACCTGTGTCTTGATCTGTTGTCATTGCCAATAAAGAAAGAAAGAAAGAAAGAAGTACAGATGAAAATAACCCTCCTTCCTGTCCCTCTAGGTCCCCACCCCTGTAGACTTCACAGCCCTGTGCTATTCTGCTGACAACATCCTGTATGTGGGAGGCAGTAACGGTGTGGTGTCAGCCTGGGACACCAGACAGAACATGTGCTTCATGCACTGGACTGCAGACTCCAACGAAATTGGTAACACTGCTCTTTCTACTTCACATTCTGCACTATACGTTTGGCTAGTTGTACTGTCCTTTGTACTACTAACAATCTGTACTATACAGTAAATATGAATACATTTGATTATTTGTACTCTACTACTTCTTTGCATATTTCGTCAGTTGATTTTAGGAAATTAGTGGACAGTCTGTACTAGTGCTGTGTACCTAAACCTACATTTAGGTTCAGGTCCAGATTCAAGTCCAGAGGTTTAGGTTCAGTTCCTGACTCGTAAGTCTGGACCTAAACCTACATGTATGGCATATACAAAATTGCATGTTGGCAACCTTGCAACGTTGTTTGGGCAAAACTTTGGCCACATAACATGGAGGCCGACACTTGACGATGCCCGATGGCAATGTTTTCTTCATTTTGCAGCACAGATTTTGCAATCTATGGAAAGTTTTAGGTGGTTTGGAAAGAAAAGGAGTATGTGACATGATTGTTTTTTTATAATAAGTCCGGAATTTGTTCTTGACTTTTAGATTTTTTGGACTTGAACCTAAACATTTTTACAAGTCCAGAACCGGTCCAGCAAACTGGTACACAGCACTAGTCTGTACATTTCTTATAAGCCTTTTAACAAAATATGTGTCACTAAGAAGTTTTGCCATTTGAAACCTTTTGTTGTTTAGGAGTTTTGGTGTGTAAAGCGGCGAGGCTGGTGACAGGTAGTACCTCCCAGCGACTGAGACTGTGGGCAGTGGTAGGGGTGGGCGACATGAGGATACCCACACAGTTCAACACGTAAGAGCCACTCTACTATTCTGAAACAACAGGAGCTACTTGACCAATTAGCATCATCCTTGTCTTGACTTTTGTTCCCTTTTGGACTTAAGTTCGTACTTATAAACCCGCTTTTCTGACAACTCTCCAGTACTAGTGTCAATGATGATGTATTTGACTGTATACTTGTTTATATATGTATATTAAATACGATAACCATTGTACATTGTACTTCTTATTTTTCACAGGTCTGTGTCCTTTTATGGCACGTACATGTATGTTGTTATACTTTACTACATCATACAAAAATGTACTACAAATTAGTAACATACTTGTACAGTAACAATAAATGCACATTGCATCAGTGAATCCAAGTCAGCAGAACGTACTGCACCTGTGCAAAACCCGTAATTGTATTGTGCATAGCACTTTTTGGCAGAACGTCTCATATAAGGTCTCATTTGTGCATATAAGGTTAGCATCCCATCTGTAGTTTCCAAATGTTATTAAAGTCTGAAAAGATGCAAAATTGGCAAAATTCTGATGCAACATTAACAAAAAAAATCTGACAGAAAACATGAAAAATCTGTGTTTCATGCAGGTTCAGTATATTCTGCCAAATGAATGTGATATCCAAGTCCATGTACATGTACCAGAATGACATTTTTTATTCCATAGTACGGAGACCAAAGGTCTGACCATGGATGATGAGATGCAGTTGGATGGACAGGTCACATGTGCCGCCTTCGACGACACCATGGACCTCGGCATTGTGGGTACCACGGGGGGTACTCTGTGGTACATCAACTGGGTGGAGAGAACTAACATCCGATTGGTCAGTGGGCATGGCAGCAGGGTAGGACAATCATTTTGATATTATATTTACAACAAGATTTCCACCACCTCATACCTTTGCCATATGATGATAAAGGTGCCTAATGCAGTTTTTACAGCTTAAAAACCAGATTTTTCAAAGTCAAAATTCTAGTCACTTATCTACATACTTAAACCAAGGACAGGGTTGTTCCATAGTCTGGAAGGTGTTCAGCACCAAGGACAGGGTTGTTCCATAGACTAGGTGTTCAGCACCAAGGACAGGACTGTTCCATAGAGTAGAAAGTGTTCAGCACCAAGGACAGGACTGTTCCATAGAGTAGAAGGTGTTCAGCACCAAGGACAGGGCTGTTCCATAGAGTGGAAGGTGTTCAGCACCAAGGACAGGGCTGTTCCATGGAGTAGAAGGTGTTCAGCACCAAGGACAGGGCTGTTCCATAGTGTAGAAGGTGTTCAGCACCAAGGACAGGGCTGTTCCATAGAGTGGAAGGTGTTCAGCACCAAGGACAGGGCTGTTCCATAGAGTGGAAGGTGTTCAGCACCAAGGACAGGGCTGTTCCATAGAGTAGAAAGTGTTCAGCACCAAGGACAGGACTGTTCCATAGAGTAGAGAGTGTTCAGCACCAAGGACAGGACTGTTTCATAGAGTAGAAAGTGTTCAGCACCAAGGACAGGACTGTTCCATAGAGTAGAAGGTGTTCAGCACCAAGGACAGGGCTGTTCCATAGAGTAGAAGGTGTTCAGCACCAAGGACAGGGCTGTTCCATAGAGTGGAAGGTGTTCAGCACCAAGGACAGGGTTGTTCCATAGAGTAGAAGGTGTTCAGCACCAAGGACAGGGTTGTTCCTTGGTGTGGAAGATGTTCAACAGTTACCAAGAAACCCTAAATGATGGTTACCAAAAACACATCAAATTAGGGTTACAAAAAAACCTAAATTAGAGTTACCAAGAAACATGAAATTAGGGCACAGCAAGTAAATTTTGTGGATGACATCCTCCCCAGATTCCAAATCTAATGCGAGCAGGCAAAAGAAAAACAAGATGGGCCAAAAAAAGCAAGATTCCTACATTTTAAATTTTTGACTCAATCATTGTAAAAATGTGGGAACATCGCATATACACATTTACACAGTATCACATTTCACATTTCACATTTCATATTAAATCAGAGCCTTTTCTTGTCTCCTCTCTTCATACACGTGTACATGTAGTTATCTGTCATCCACCTTCCGGCATGGCAACAGACATCTTTGATTCTTTGTCCATTTTTGGCATGTTGACCACTGTCAGAAGGCAACAAAATTTCTTGTTTTTATTTCTCCAAAACCAGTCAAAAATTAATGCACATACTAATGTCATCCATAAACATTACTTGCTGTGGCCTTATATGAAATGTTTGATTTTTTTTTCAGATAGTCCTGATGAAACCCTGAGTCCAAAAGTTCCAAAAATGCAGCGTCCAATACTGAATTGTCAGATGTAATATTTCTTGCATGCTTGTTATTTCACAGATCAATGGCCTGGGGTTCTCCAATGACAGCTACTTTGCGACCTGTGGTGATGACGGCAGCCTGCATGTGTGGTCAGTACAGGACAGGGAGCAGACCCTGCAGTTCCAGGTGGTGGACCAGGTGGGTAGGGGGCGCTGCAGCACAGCTGGTGTAACTTATCTTTGGCACTTCCTTTCAAGAATGATGAACACTGTCACTTTTTGGGTTATTCTAATCCTTGCTGTCAATGATACAGTGCTACAGAAAGCTCAACTGTTTTTCAAACCTTCAAGAGAAAAAATTGCTAATTTTCACATATCTTTTCTTTATTTTTCTTTTAGACCTTGGCAATCTCTAGTGATATACTTGTACAATGCAGTTTAACAAAGTAAAAGTTGCATGAGGACACTTACATATATATTTTCAATGTCAATGTTGGAAAACCGAATGTACAGCGTTTCATCACTCAGGTGTCAGATCATGGAGCTGGAAAAGGTCAATCAGCTCGAAAAATGTTTGTCACTTGCAGGGGTCCAGACAAAAAAATAGACTAGGGGCGGCATTTTTTTCTAGGGTCAGTCAGGAAACAGGAAACACAACATTTGTTTTCCTAGGTGTAGTACAATAATTTATTGTTCCCATTACTTCAAGCTACATTATATAGAACATCAAAGAGGCCTTGCTTCTCCCTTTTTTCCCCACTCATCCAGGCCTGTACCTGTGTGGCGTTTAGTTCCCGTGCCCACCCCCCTCCCACCCGTGTGGGCAGCGATGACGTGAACAGTACGTACATGGTGGCAGGGTACAGCGACGGGACAGTTCGCGTGTTTGAGCTGGACAGCGTGGAGATGGTCCTCAAGATGCACCCTCACGCTGTCTCCATCACTGCTGTTACATTCACTGCAGATGGTGGGTTCTGAGTTTCTTTGTGCTATTGCTGATAATTCTCATGAAAGTTCATCTGTGTTGGTGGTTACAAGTTTAAAGTTAAAACTTTTGATCCAACACTGGGTCAGTCTACTGACTCAGAGGAAAACCAGAGTGACTGGTTGAAAGCTCTAGGTGAGAGAATTTCTTTGTGTTGTACCGGTATTAAAAGTTTTAACGTTAAACTGCTGATGATTGTTTGTGAGACAGCATGTTTCTTTGCCTGTTTGATTGACAAATGCATGCCTGTACAGTTTGGTTTACCATGCATCATATACATTGTACAGCTTTAGTTAAACAGTCTGTTTGAATGTTTGTTTTCTTTTTATTTGTTTGACAAATGCATGATTGTCTGTAAAATTGGGTATATCATGTCTCATATGCAACTTTAATTCTTTAAGTTACAATCATTTTGTGTTGGACCAAAAGTTTTAACTTTAAACATGTAACTACCAACACAGATGAACTTTCATGACAAGTTACAATCATGTTTGTTAGTTTGTTGTTTGACAAATTTATGCCTGTACAGTTGCGTATACCATGCAGCTTTAATTCTTAGACTGTTTGTTTGTTTGTTTCTTTCTTTATTTGTTTGTTTGACAAACGCATGCCTGTACAGTTGTGCTATTCCATGCAGCTTTAATTCTAAAACAGTTTGTTTGTTTGACAAATGCATGCCTGTACAGTTGTGCTATTCCATGCAGCTTTAATTCTAAAACAGTTTGTTTGTTTGACAAATGCATGCCTGTACAGTTGGGTATCCTACCTGCTCCTATATTAGTAAACAGTAAAATAGAACCTCTATAAGTATAAGAAGGGTTGAAGAGAAAGCCGAGTGTTTCGTAGGTCGTGCCATCCTGTCCGGTGCGAGTGATGGTCTGATCGCGGTGAGCAGTCCCACCACGGGCATGACCCTGCGCATCCTCAACGACCACAAGGGGGCACCGATTACAGCCATGGACACCATCTTCAAACAGGTATGGAAAACTAGCCTCCGTAGCAGGCTTATATAGAACTGGGGGTTTGGTGGTCTTTTTGGCTATTTTCTGATTAGCCAAATAAAACGGGGGTAATTCAACCAGGCCGGCTATGTTGTCTATATGCAATCAGAAATAAAAGCTCCCAAACACCCTGAAGACCCCCAAACCCCCAGTTTTTGGCATGCTATGGAGGCTAACAGAAAATTTGGGGTTGTTAAATAAGAGCAGCTTGATATGTACATTGTATGTTGCAATCATCTACACTGGAACGTTGAGCCCTGTCTCACATTTAGAACCTTCTCCCAACCACCAACCAACCAAGGTTGGCTGAAGTTTGGGAGCAGTCTGATCAGATTTAGGCCAGATTTACATGATTATATAAGAATCAAATTGAATTTGAGTTAGTTTTACCCCGAACATGCCTGAACAATTTTTTTAAAACCAATATTATTCCTTCAACCTTGATAGACATAGTTGACAAAAATCTTGGGAAAAAATATAAACACATCTTAAAGACCACCAACAACTGCACTCAACCCCATGATTTGCCTCTCAAATTTAAGTCAAAATGTTTAAAAGATTTTAAAAAGATTGAAAATCTAAAATTTGTCAAAGACCACCCATAGATTAGATTGCACCGTCTCCCACAATCATGAACCTGATGATGACAAAAATTTGAGCTGGCTAGAGCCCTAGAGCTGCAGACAACAATGACATCACCCATAAAACCAAGAACCAAGTTGCAACAAAGTGGTGTATAATTTTTTTATGTTATTTTTTTTACACAGGACAAG